CGCCAACCGGCCGCTCCCGCCGATACCTCAATCCACTAGAACTTTCTTCGGTTTCCGCTTCCGGGTCGCCTCAAGAACCGCCTTTAAAAAAGAAAATCCAAGTTGGGCACTTCTAGCCACGTAGAGCCATAGAGTTGAGGCCCGCAAGGCCTCCACAGCCTCCTTCGCGGGAAGCCGAGCCGCCTTCTGTGACCTAGTTTCTCCGTCAGCTCTTCCGGTTTGAGGGAGAGAAGGTCCGAGAAGAAAACTTCCGTTCCCTGCTGCCCGGCGCCCGGAACTCAAGGACCTCGGCTTGGCCGACCTGGCGGTGGGAAGAGTTAGAGGAACGGACAAGAGAGGGGAAGAATGGCCAGGAGGCTTCCGAGAGAGCACCGGAAGTACGGCGCTCAGAAGGGTCCGACTCAGGCTCGCGTCGCTGTCGGCTGGTGGGAACCGGGGACGCCGGCGACCTGAGTGCAAGCTGGCGCTACCATCGTCACCGCCGGCAAGTCCCTTTTCTGTGCTTTCGTTGGCTCAGTCTTGAAGTGGGTCGAGGACGAGCCACTCTCAGAGTCCATCCTGGAAAACGAGGTTGCCAGTGGGAGCCGAGAGCCGGGGTAAGTGTGTGTCTTTCCTGAGGGTTTTTCTTCCGAGGCAGGGAGGGAGGGAGGGAGGCAGGCAGGAGATGGCAACGAGAGATGACACGTCGGAGTTTGCTTTGGAAATCGTCACTCTTGGTGGTACCGACTTTCGTCTTCTACGTACCTAAGTTAGAAATACGGCAAATGGCGCAGACCAATCCTTACCTCGACCTTTAAAGTAACTCGTTCCTGGCTTGGACCATCGCAGAGGTCACCTAATTGTTCTCTGCCTGTAGTGTGTTGAGAGATTGAGTATCTGTGTTGTGTAGTACCAGACGTGGGATGTACAGGCATGTTGAGAAAGATAGTTTATCTCAAATGCCTTCCGGAGAGGTTGTCAGAATGATTTTTTTGAAACACGTGTACAGTTTTATGATCACGCCAGAACTTATGGTAACAGGAGTTATTTTTATATGACGTAGGTTATGTTAAGTACTTAACAATGTTGAGTTAGCTATTTTCTCTTGGGCCTAGAGAAATTGAAAAGTTGGGAAACAGCCAGAGCAGGATTTGAATCCAGGCACTTAGACTTCAAGGCCCATGTTCTTACCAGGGCACTGTGTCACTCCTCAGTAAAAGGCCCCTCCCCATCTTCAGAACAGTCCTGGGTTCTGAGCCTGCCATCCAAGGAACTCAGGAGGAGGAGTTGACGGTTTCTTCATCCCAAACCACCCTGGGACAGGACTCAGCATGTCTCAGGCCACCAAGAGGAAGCATGTGGTGAAGGAGGTGCTGGGGGAGCACATGGTGCCCTCCGACCAGCAGCAGATTGTGAGGGTGAGTGCACTGGACACAAGCTGCTCTGCCTCAAACCCTTCCACTCCCTCTGGGCTCCTGGGGTGGGGGTGGGTTCAGTGCAGCCCAGACTGTGTTTGATCTGACTGATGAGGCTGACTGATTCTTGTCTCTCCTGGACCAGGTACTCAGGACCCCAGGGAACAATCTGCATGAGGTGGAGACAGCCCAAGGGCAGCACTTCCTGGTGAGCATGCCATCCAAATACCGTAAGAACATCTGGATCAAGAGAGGTGAGAGAGGCAGCCCTCTAGGAGACAGAACCATTTCCTGTGGCCTTGCCTTTCCGCATTGCAAGCAGTCCTGACTTTGCTTTTTCTCTTCTCACCTACAGGGGACTTTCTCATTGTTGACCCTCTGGATCAAGAGAGGTGAGAGAGGCAGCCCTCTAGGAGACAGAACCATTTCCTGTGGCCTTGGCTTTCCGCATTGCAAGCAGTCCTGACTTTGCTTTTTCTCTTCTCACCTACAGGGGACTTTCTCATTGTTGACCCCATTGAAGAGGGAGAAAAAGTGAAGGCCGAGATCTCCTTTGTGCTGTGCAAGGACCACGTGCGCTCTCTACAGAAGGAGGGGCTCTGGTAGGATGGTCCCCTCAGTCATTGGCGTGCTTGCTTCTGGGGGGATTGACTTCCTAGCTAGGGAATCGGGGGAGGGGAGATTATGGCATCCCAGGCATGGACAGCTAGAACAAGCTTTTTGCTGAGAGATGTCTTTGTCCTCTCTGATCCTGGCTCTTCTCTTGGCACAGGCCTGAAGCCTTCTCTGAAGTGGCTGAGAAACACAACAGCAACAGGAACAGGTAAGGAACAAATCTTGGGGTAGAGAAGACAGAAAATAGGGGTTTGTGTCTTGGTGTCTTGAAGGAAAAATAGAGCCTTCTTTTCTCCCTACATAGGGTACATGGTGATAGCTCCTAAATATGTGCTACAATATGTGGTTATGAGTATGGCTTCAAAGTCAGATACCCTGTGTTAAAATTCTGGCTTTGCCACTTATAGCTCAGCAGCTGTAAGCAAGTTAGTCTTTTAAGACTCTATTTCCTTATCTATAAAATGGGAGTTCTGTGAAGATTAAAGGATGCAATGCTTGTAAAATTGCTTAGTACAGTACCTGGTATATAACATGGGTCCACTGTTAGTATTCCTAACTAAAACCAATGGCTGTAGCAAACTTTGGGGGGAGGGGGAATTTACCTATTTCTTTGGCCATTTTTTCCACTGTTTGCTCTGACTCTATCCCTTCTTTTAGTCTTTAAGGGGGTGCTGCATTTTGGCAGGCCTTTGGAGCCCTGACAGCTTGGCCAAATGGTCCTCCTTTTTGGGACTCCTTAATTGCAAATCTGGTTTTCCCAGAAGGTGTTGGGCTAACTCTGCTCCTCCTCCACACAGACAGACTCAACCAGAACTCCCAGCCGAACCACAGTCATCGGGAGAAAAGTCCAGCTCTGAAGATGATTCTGATCTCTTTGTTAACACCAACCGCAGACAGTATCACGAGAGTGAAGAGGAGAGTGAAGAGGAGGAGGCACCCTGAGGTCCTGGGACCCACTTCTCTACTTGCTCAGGGACTAGTCCCTAGCAACTCTGGGCTTGGACAGTCCCATAGTGCTCTGCAGATCTTCACCCCGGGATGGGGACAAGGCAGGGCCCCTGTCTGAACTGACCTTCTGGCCTGGAAAATTAAACCCCTAGTGGGTGGTGACTTGTACTGGTGTCTGAGTGGCTCTCTGTGGGGAGGGGGACTTGTGGTTATGTACAAAACTGCTCCTTGGTGTGGCGGCTTGGTGGGCCAGTGGGCTGAATAGGAAGTAAATGGGGAATGGCTGGAATCTTTCTGAGGTAGTTTGTTCTCTTTCTCTCTCATTGGGCAATTAGGAAGTGTCAGGCCCTGTGCGATGTCTCCTTGTATGTATTTAACAAGTGGGAGCAATCCCACTTCATTGCTTGCTTGCAGTTTATATGGATTCAAACATTCAGGATTACAGCCCTAGGACATACTGCCCACCTGCCTCTAAAAGACACTCAGGACAAATCCCATGGTGCCTGGTGAGCTGCTTTCCCTGCCTTTAGTCATCTGTTACTATGGGAGGGCTCACCTCCATGCTACTGTGTGCATCCCCTGGTCGGACCCCAGCTCTCCCATCCTTAACTATCTGCCACTTGCAGATTATATGCTATGTGGTCAGCAAACCTCTGTATATATTTAGCCTTGTTTTGAATGGTTCGTCCATCTCTTGATTTTATTGGAAACCTGGTTGTTCAGTAACCTTTTAAATGGAGGCGACTTTTTTACCCTCACCTTTTGTGCCTCAGTATGAGAAGGTAGGGTTGGTGGCCTCCTTGTGGCTACTCAGACCATCAGTCTCCACCAGCCCTCTTGCAAACCGCGTCATCTCGCTTCTTCGAACCTTTTGCCTCTGGCTGTATGCTCTCCCTCTTCAACACTGGCATTGACCTAGTCACTGCTCAGTCATAGAAGAGTTTACGTCCTACTGATTTAGTCTTCCGCTTCTGCTGTGTCATTATTTTCTTTATCACATGGATGGAGCTGTTCAACCCTATGGCTCCCAAGTTCCTTGATGTCCCCACCACTAATGCCCTTGTCTTCTTTTCCGGCCTGCAATATGTATCCCTAGTCACTCCCTGGACCCTTGACATCACTAGGAATTGCAGCACCTTTTGAATTTAAATACTTGTACATTCACCACCTTCTGGCTTTCTTCCTTATTCGAGTACCTCCTCTGCAAATTTTTTTTATCCTCATCCTCCAAATCAGCCCTGACATTCTCACCATTAACCTCCTGTCTTCACTTCCCTCCGTGAGCAGCATCAGTCCCATGGTCCACACCTTCCACTCCTGTCTGCCTCCATTCTGTTCATCTAGTAAAACCCTAAACCTGGGTGAACCCAATCATTCATCTCTGCCTGAACCCGAGTCACTATTATCACGCTAGAAAACAGCCAACCTGGCTCACCAGTCGTACCTTAAATTCATAATTACAAACCTCAAGTGGACACTCAGCACTGCCCAGCTGATCTACTCTGGGATGTCTCTTTCAAAACTTCTATTTCATCTACCAGTTCTCTGTTCCCATGGTAATTACTGACCACAGCTCATACTTCATTAAGAATTAGTAGCCATTGGAGGGAACTCACACCTCATTACCAAGTCTGCAAATGTGCTTGTGCATCTTCCTGTTTTTCTACTTCCTGTTGTAAGCTGATGGCACTTAAGCCTTTCCTCTTGAGCTTTGGAGGCTGTCTCTTCTCTTTTTTTCATAAGGACTTTGTTGGGGTATTTTTGTTGTTGCTGTTTTTTTGTTTATCATTCTCTCTATTATATGTGTTAGCATCAAATGTGCTATAGAATCTCGTTTCTGAAACAATCAGGAAAACCTGTATTGATCCCCACATCCTCTCCAGCTACCGCTTCATTTATCTGATTTTCATTCACTTTCTCTTATGTTTGCTTAGTGTAGCTTTAAATATGTGCGTATATATGTGTGTGCGTCTACATGTGTATAAAGTGTATGTCATTTATCTGATTTTCATTCACTTTCTCTTATGTTTGCTTAGTGTAGCTTTAAATATGTGCATATATATTTGTGTGCGTCTACACGTGTATAAAGTGTATGTGTGTATATATATATATATATACATAAACCAGATGAGTTAAAGATATGTATGTGTGTGTATATATATATATATATACATAAACCAGATGAGTTAAAGATATGTATGTGTGTGTATATTTATCTTTATCTTTTTTTCCCTAAAGAGAATCATTTGTCCCTATACCATTTATTGAAGGTTCATTCTTTTCTCACTGGAAATACTTTTCAAAAAATAAACTAAATTCCTGTACGCGCTTATATGTGGATCTCTTTTCGGAATTTCTAATCTAACCCCGTTGGTCTTTGTGCCTGTACCATGTTTTATAGTCTGATTGATACTTGCTAGGCCGCTCCTCCACCCCCACCCTGCCATTTTGTGGCCATTTCATGTTTTCATATTTTCTCTTACATAAGAACTTCAGAATGGACTTGTCAATTTTCATCTAAAGGTCCTGTTGGGATTTTCATTGGCATGGTTTTAAATAGTTTGATTTGGGGAGAAGTATTATCTTAACAGTTTTGAGTCTTTATGTCCTAAGCAGGGTATGTATGTTCTTTTCTAATACATTTCTAGTTTGATTTAGAAGTTTTATCAAATTTCTGGTTACTTGTTACAAACTCCTCGTTACTTGTTATGAACAGGATCTTCTGAAATTGCACTTGTAATCATCACTGGCATGTGGGAACGCCGTCCATCTTTGTTGCTCATCTTGTTAATCTAATTGAATTCATTAGTTGTCGTAGCTCTTTAGTTGATTCTCTTTGTTTTCTAGATAGTCAAATCATATCCTGTGAGTTTCAGTTTCATCTTATCCTTTACACTGTTTTTTCTTGTGAATGACGGAGGCCAGGACCTCCAGTATAATATTGAATGGCCTCTTGATTGTTCCTCTCTTAGTTTTAATGGTTCTTGTGTTTTCGTCATGAAATAGGACTCTTGCTTTAGGTTTCTGGTAGATAGTCTTTGTTAGGATGAAGATGTTTCCTTCTGTTCCTAGCTTGAGGGTTTATTTCTTTTATTCAACAGTGATGAATGCTGACATCTATTGAGATAATAAAAAGATTTTGTTTTATTATTGTACTGAATTACATTAATAGTTTTCCTAATGTTGAACCAACCTTGCATTCTGATATAAATCCTGCTTAGTTTTACAGTGTGTTATTTAGATTTTTATATTTATTCCTGGGCCAATTTCACTTTATTATTGTACTGAATTACATTAATAGTTTTCCTAATGTTGAACCAACCTTGCATTCTGATAAAAATCCTGCTTAGTTTTACAGTGTGTTATTTAGATTTTTATATTTATTCCTGGGCCAATTTCACTTTTTTTTTTTTTTTAATAATCTCCCTGTTCTATGTTGATATTAATATTATGCTAGCCGTATAGAATGGGTTTGAAGATGTTTTATCTTTTTCTTCAGGCTCGAATAGTTTATAGAACAGGAATTTGTTTCTTCAAAATTTGGTAGAAGTTATTTATAAAAACATCCGTGCTTGGTGTCTTTTTTAAAGATAGATCTTTAACTGCCTTTTAGTTTCTTCTGTGGCATTCTGTCTCTGAAGTTTTCTATCTTTGAGTCAGTTTTGGTAATTTATATCATTGTAGAGTCATATATCTCATGTATATTTAAACTTTTTAGGCAAAAAAGTTATGCTTAATATTTGTATTATTTGGGACTTTCTTACTTATAAGCAACAAAATCGAACTCAAATTAGCAGACTCAAGCAAGGACCCATTGGCCTGAGGTCTGAGAGTGGCACTTCAGGCAGAGCTGATCCAAGGCCAGCACGATTCCTCAGGACGCTCTCCTTGTTTGTCTTGGTTGTCTCTGCTGAATTCTACTTCTATTCTCCCAACTTGGTGGTGAGATCCAACTATGTATTTATAGATTACCCAGGCCAAGCTGACTGTTCTGAGAGCCCTTTATCCCTGATGCTGTGGCCAGTCCATGTGATTGGTTGTCTCATGGTACTGACCCCTCCTGCAGTTACATTTGAGAGTGTGCGGCCCTTCACACTCTACACCTCTATCACTTTAGGACCAACATTTACAGCCAGGTCCTTTCCAGTAAGGCTTCCCCACGCAGCCCAGCTCACTTTCATCCAGTCACCCTTATACATGTACTAAGGAGCACAAATGGCAATCTGAGCTAACCACATGGGTTTTCTTCTTTATCTGTAAATGTGGTAAAATATCTTCACATTTTCTCATGTTAAAACATTCCTGCATTTCTGGAGTAAAACAGACATGATGTATTTTTCATTACATTGTTCGATTTGGTTTTCTTTTTTTTTTTTTTTGTCTTTTTCCATCGATTTGGTTTTCTGATATTTGGGGGGCGGGGGCAGATTTTGGCATCCAGGTTCATAAGTGAGGTGGTTTAACTTTTTTCTTTCCTATATTGTCCTTGTCTGGTTTTTATATAAAAGTTATGCTAACTTCATGAAATGAATTGGAGAGTGTTCTCTTTATTTTCATTACAAGAGCTTATATAAGATTGGAATTTTGCATTTCTAAATTTTCTGGTAAAACTTGCTGTAAAATCAACCACGTCTGGCCTTTTTTGGAGGGGTGCCGGGGGTGTGTTTTGAACTAGATTTTTAGTGGTAATAGATTAATCAGGTTTTCTGTTCTTGAGTCAGTTATATTTCAAGGAAAGAATATTTTCATGTTTTCTCATTTTAACTGTGATATCAAATTTACTGGCACAAAGTTATTTATAGAATTGCCTTATGTTTGTAATCTTGACTGTACCTGAAGTTATGTCCCCTCTTTTATATCTGATATTGTTGGTGTTTTCTCTGCTGTCCCCCGTCAGTCTCAGGAGAGCTTCATTACTAGTCCTTCCAGAGCACCAACTTTTTGTTGTCATTGCCTTTCATTGGTAGCTTTTTTCTATTTCATTAATTTCTCCTTTTACCACCATATTTCCCACCTACTGATACTCTTTTTGGGTTTATTCTGTGGTTCTTTTTCTAATCCTTTTGGTTGGATACTTAGCTCATTAATTTTCTTCTTTACTTCCTCCACCATCCCAAAATATTTAGGGAATTTTTATCTTTTTTTTTTTTTGAGGCTGGCTTGTCTGG